CCTCTGTGTCATTGCCGTGTGCATAATGGACTCTTAGCTAGGTCTAAATCATCCAGACTCGGGAGCTACAAAAAACACTTTGCTTCAAATCCCATAACCATTCTTTCTAGTGTCCTAGATTTCAGACAGTGAGAGAGAGAGAGCACACGCTTTGGGGTCAAGCAGATCTGGGTTCAAACCTAAAGCCTGGCACTTAATTGACTGGGCAACCTCAAAGAAACTTGGCTTGACTGGCTTCAGTCACCTCATCTGTAAAGCAGGAATTAAAATATCTCACTGAAGGGACTGTTGTGAGAATTAAATGAATTAAGGCAATCTAAAGCTCCTAGCATGGCACCTGGCACATGACGGGGGGCAGGCGGGGTCATACGTTAGAAGCAGCAGCAAAGTGAAGCGGAATCTCAGATCTCGTGCCATATTTGGGCCATGTGACCTTGTTTAAGATCACTGCCTTTCCTGGATACTCATGTAAAACAGAGATCCTTAACATCGGCATCATGTATTCAGGACTCAAATTCCGTGGTGCTGCTTATGATTCTGAAAGTTGTCACGAAGAAACAGAAGGATCATAAGACGCTACGCAGCTGTTCAGAATAAAAGTGACCCACCTTCACGTCCTGATACAGAAAGATGCCCAGAGTGCTCCACCATTAAGTGAAAAGGGCAAGCCACAGCACAGCATGAGAAACAAACCACTATAACGTACACACATACACACGCGTGTGGTGTATACAGACATACGTCTACACAAACATGTCTGTCTGTATGTACATATGCCCAGATGTGCTCAGAAAATCCCTATTGTGATCGGTAAGTATTTATTTATTTAGTTTATTTATTTTAGTTTGCTATAGGGCACAAGAACTCACCAGAGAGAGAGACAGGGAGATAGAAAGAACGTCCCCCCCCATGGAGGATAGCCACATCACAGTTTGTTCTCTTCTAGTCTCCTCTTGGGATTTTGGGCACGCACACACACACACCCAGTGTTTTTCAAGCTGCTGCGTCTAGGACTCAAACCAGTCAGCCATGTGGGATCTAGCCATCTTAACTTCCACACTGCCTGTTGGCCCAATTACTAGTGGTTTCCTCTAGGAATGCGTCTAGGAGTGCCACTGATCCTCTTCTGTACTGTTTGAATTCTTCTTAACATAGGTATATGTTCATATTATAATTTCTAAAAACTGGCTTTTAAAAGGTGTAGAAGATGAGGAAGGGAGGAGAGGGAGAAACAGGGAGGGAGGAAGCACGGGGCCATTTCAATGCCAAATCTCCAAGGTCAGGATATTTGGGTTGTACTCAGTCCTGCCACTAACTTCACAACCTCAGATAAGCCACCTCCCCTCTGCAATGCCCTTCTGAAAGGTAAAATAGGAGAGCTGAACTAGTTGCTCTTCAGGGATTAGACGATGTCTGCAAGGTGCACCGAGTACATTTTACCCACAGAACATCTCTTTTTTGAGGACTTTTGATGCTTTAAGCATCAAGTTTTATAAAAGGAAAACATATAGACAATTTCATTTTGACTCCCTTCACACTTGAATGAGAAAGCATTCCCACCACGTTACAGACAGAAACCAAGTACACACTGTAATGATCACTCGCCAACCAAATACACTGCTCACTAACTCTGCTGTTTGCAAAGAATTATGACTGCCAGGAGTTTTATAGCTCCCCATCCCTTCTGTGCCTCTCCTGCAGAGGAGGCACAGGCTTATGCAAAACAAGCAGAAGGCACTCTTTGCTGGGGAAAACAGGGTGAGATGTGGAGCGACTTCCTCTGGGGCAGAGCATAAACAAAGCTCGCTCCCAGCACATTTAAGAAGTAAGTATTGAACCCTGGGGATCAACTCCGCATCCCGCCCCCACCTGGAGTGAAAGCTTCACCTTGAAGATGCGTTCCCTGCAGTCATTCTCTGAGCGTTTTCTGGGTCAGAAGCAGTGAAAGCAGCTACACCAAAGCTGCCAACAGAGTTGCTACACGGAGCTGGTACTGAGTTCCCACCACTACTACACAGGCACTGAGCTCACCCCGCCCCCGTGGAGCACAGAGTGGGGCTGCACTGGACCCGGTGAGTATTTTTCCAGCCTTGCGTGGTGTTGTAAGGCAAATGACCTGGTTTGTCCTCACAGGTACAGGTCTCTGCCTCGCACAGGGTACTGACATTTTCTCCCTGGTTTGTCAGGGTAGGTGGCTCCACCCTGAAAGGGATCTGCCAGCTTTGGACTTTAAGTCAAACATTTGGCCATCTAGGCTTCCCAGCAGTCGCAGAGAGGGCTACCTTTGCAGAAAAGGGTAGAGACTGATCCGCCAATGCTATGGCAGCAACCTCGATTATAAATGAGCAAAGCAGAGACCCAAGTACGGCTAAGACCCTACAAAGCACCTCACCCCTGAGATGAAAAGGACTGTACACTAGAAGAGCGTGTAGCCAGGTCACGCACTAGTAGTGAACCACTTAGTGACCTTTGCTATGGTGCCTGGTAATCTTTGAGACAAGACGATGACCACTGGCATTCCCGGCATTCTAAAACCTCTAGAGGGGCCAGAGGATGGTGAAGCGGTAGCACAACTGAACGCACCAGGTAAAGTCCTGGGTTTGTGTCTAAGATCTCCCTCAGCAAGCCAGGCGCGTGCATGCTGTCGATATAGGCCGGCTGAGACCACGGGTAAATCACAGTGGGAGGACCCGCCTGCCTGCCTGTCTCTCATGGAATAAATAAATAAATGCCAAAATATAAATAAGTAAAGCTTCTAGAAGCTTCTATGAGTTTAGTCCCATTCTTACTGTTACCTGTGGATCAAGTATGACTTTGCTGACTTGTTGGTTTACCACTGACCTCATTATGACCCTAACTGGGGGCCTCTGGTTGTTTGTAGCTGGGTCCCTACCTGGTCTCTGCCTTTAGGACCTCCTCAAAGGCCTAACCTTGTTCTCTGTCTTCCTTTATCATGGGCACTTCTTTCCAAGGTCTCTAAGGACTTTCTGTTTATCAGCTCATCTCAAACCCCACTATGTATATGTAGAGGCCTTATAGCTCTACTCACTACTCTAGAAGTTAAACACTAGCTCCTATCAATCACTGGGCCCAGAACAAAGCGAGAGGATTGCAGTGGGAGTGTGTCCATGACAGAGAGTTTTGTTGAAAGAAACAAAACACATTCAAAAGCCTGAGCAAGCAGAATTCTGGTGCGTGCAGCCACTGGTGAAACTCATACTTTTTTGCCTGGACGAGGCAGAAATAAAGGCAGAACAAACCAACCAATAGATACTGTAATATTTTATAAGGTGGTCTGGACTTTGACATACCTTAAGGAAAAACAAATAGGTTAAGTGTAACCAAAAAAAAAAACCCACAAAACCTCTGTACAGGAATTTTTGGTCTTTTTCTGAAACATTTCTCTTAACTCTTTACTGTTATAAAACAAACCTTGTGTCTATGGGTCTGACACAGCCATTCAAAGAGTGGCTTTCATAGCCACATTCTGAGGGTCAGCCTCATTTTCACTGAAAAATGAGGTGGGAGTGACTGGATTCTGGATGAATAACACAATTTGTCTAGCAGTAGACATATTTTGGTGATGTAAGTTAAAATCAGTCGTTATTTTTCCCTCCAACAAACAGAAAGCAGTTGGAGAATAGAGAGGCAGGAAGATGGCCTTAGTCTAAAGGATTCCTCTTCACTCCTTACCCTCACCCCATCAATCATTCGAGGTCACTGATTTTTGGATTATTTACAGTGCTGAATAGAGTTGAAACCTCCTGACAACCAATGCAAGACAAGCACCATTTCTTGAGTGCCATACATGAGCCAGGCCCTGCACTGGGCACCAGTGTTCCAGACACTTCCTTCTTCCAGGAACTCACAGCTCAGCAGAGTCAGACCTATACATGACCAAGCAGGCTCCAATGGGAGTACAACGGAGAAGAGGTTGCATGCCTTCCCAGGTT